TTCCTGTTCTTAATGTAGGAAACAGTGTAGCCAGTTTAGTGGGTATCTTCCTTCAGGCATTTGTGCTGAGGGCAAGGGAGTACAAAGTGTACGCTATGACTGATTTAACTGGACAGAGCCTTGTAACCTGCTCTTTCCTCTGGGTGCTTTGGAGCTGGCCAGTGATAAGCACAGAGGTGGATGATGGATGGTGGATGAATTGAATTATGCTATAAAGGAGTAAGGGCTATTAGAAATAAATGGCATTTATCTATTGGGTGCTTTAAAGCACCTAAGAGTTGATCCTAGTAAACCGTTTGTGGTAGGAAATTGTACCACCAATAAAGTACGACTGGAAAATCGAATCCTGTCCCTCCCCCATCCAGCTCAGTCCTGCCTCAGTGGAAGGGACCACACCTGACTGCATGACCACAGCTGACAGCCAAGCATAGTGGGGCAAGAGATGAGCACCCATTGCTTAGGGCTTAGATTAGGTAAGGCTTTGTGGCTAATACCTAGAGCTTGAATTAGCACTGAGCTTTGGAAATAAAATGAATGCTTGTGTTTCCTATCTGCTTGGATTAGGAATCTTGTTTCCTTGAGAAATCTTAGGTGCTTCAAGGGTTACTTTTTGGTTTTCAATCCTGTGCTAAGATAGTAAATACTGCCACTGCCTTTGTTGAAGCCTTGGCATGGTGAATCATAAGACTTGATGTCTTGAATCTTTTATTTTCTTTTTTTTTTTCTTCCCTTTGGGGAAAAAAAAAAGAAGCTTTAATCACTTTTTGGTTCAAGCAGAGTTCTCAATGTCTTACTAGTATATTATGTTTAACAAATAACCTATTATGATTAGGAGCGACAAGAGAGTGTTACTAAAATCTTCCACATGCTTCTTCTGGAATGAGAGCTGTTTCCTTCCCCCCGGTTTTTATGCGTTAGAGTCCTGTTATCATTATCAAGTTCAGGCTAAGAAATTCCTCAGGCCTTTCATATTGCTGTGTTTTTTCCCTTCCCATGTTACTGCACTCTCTGAAATCCTTGACTTTCACTGAGTGCAGCACAAAGGATAACACCTGACTGCTGGCAAGTTATATCAATGTTATCTGTCCATTGCTGCCAGGCCCAAGCTGTTGGTGTGTTGCTGCTTCTTGGGAAATTCTTGGTGCAGTTTAGGAATATGTGCACATACTTGGGTTGCAAGAATATGTCCAGTTGAGCAAAGTACTTCTTAATCTGGATTTATCAGAAGTAACAGAGTCCTGCATTGGTCAGTACACCACAAATACTTGTGTTGGTCTGTTTAGGGCTATTTTGACTACCTTTGAAATAATTTTTAAAGATTTGTTTAGGCAATAGTCACAAATATGACATTATAGCTCTAACAGGTTTGGACCTGTTAGACCAAAAAACATTATAGTTGGTTTGGGGAGCTGGTTGATTTTTGGTTTTCGAAGCAGAGTGATTTTGCTGAAATAAAAGCTCAAATTTCAGAACACTTTGGCTGCCTTACAAATGGAGATGGCCAGGGCATGAAGGTGTTGACTCAGTACTTGAGCTTGATTCTTCTCTGTGTGTGTAATGGTGAAAATTCTTTGTTTTCTGGCAGTCTACAAGGTGAACAGTCATGCAGGAAATGCCATTGTTGGTTGTTTCTACCTCCTGCTCTAAGCAGCTTATCTCTGTAGGATCACTTGTTGTGCACTTACTTTGTTCACTCTTCCCTTGTTTCTCTTACTCAGGAAGGTTACATGACTTGCTGAAAAGAAAGAAAATGCTATGCTGGGGATACTCATCTTTTGGACAACCTGGAATAGGTAGCAACCTCCAGGTCATCATTCCTGAACCACAAGTTTATGGATTCATTCATGACCAAAATGTCAAGGAGGTGGCATGTGGAGGAAACCACTCTGTGTTCCTGTTGGAAGATGGGGAAGTATATACCTGTGGCTTGAACACCAAAGGCCAGCTGGGACATGACTGTGAAGGAAGCAAGCCAGGTAAGTTTGCTTTTTATATGTGCATCAGACTGTCTTGAGGCTGATAGGCTGAGAAGATCATAGAAGCTGCTTTGTGTTGATTGCTCTGGAACTGGAGCAGCTAACAAAGCTGAAGATCATGTGTAGTAACACGTTAATGCTGCTGAATAATATTTGCTGGCTCTGGAAAGCTACAAGCTGAGCAGCATGGGTAGGAAGACAGGTCTGCTCAGTTTGTCTGGGAAATGCATCAAAACAGAGGCAAGCACAGATGGTTTTAGGGCATATTTTGTTATTTGGCATTATTTTGCCTTATAAAAGGGAAGAGAGGGCTATGAGTAACAAATGTCTTTTGCTTTGTCCTTCCAATTGGACTGCATCCTTATGCCTACTCTTGTTCAGTTACTGTTGGGGAAACTTGTAATTTATGTCAAATAAAAGATACATACAGTAAGTGTTGTGGTAGAGAGCAAACTTGGCTTTGGCCAAGAGAGTTTATAAATTTTGTTTTCCCCTTGTCCACGTGTGCTTTCACCCCTTCATGCATTTTTAATCTAGAAGAAGGTCATCGCAGCCTTTTGTTTCCCAGGCTTAAATTACATTTTCTTTGTTGTGTTCCATTGGGCAGAACCTGTGGGTGCAGAACCATAGGTAGGTAATGCCTCTCCTTCCTAGGGGGAGGGAGTGGTTTAATTGTGTATTGCTATTTTGAGAAACTGAAGCCATTGTTATGGACTTTCTTTTGAGTGTTTGCCTTCCAATTAATCTTCCATTAACTTTTTGGTTTTGGCATGTGGTAAAGATACAGATATTTTTCTTTCTGTAATACAATAAAAACCCATCTGTGGGTAATTAGAGCAATATGGCATCATCTTTCCTCAAATTGCAGGCTGATTGCCCTAGGGCTTGGGACTTCTATCCTGTTACTACACAACAGAGGTAAGAGATGTATACAGAATAGCCACAGGTCCCCACATAGTATGTGCAAATCTGACCTGTGCTGTTCCTTCTTCTGCCAGTGTGTCTTTTGTCTTTCTCTCAAAATGACACGGTAGGTATTGGGTGCTGGATGTCCATGGTGCTGGATTAGAGGAACTGACTTTGAATCTGGTCTCTCTTGCTTTTCTTACAGTTGGTTTCCAGGCAATTACTAAAAGAGGTTTGGATTATCAGGAGTGCTTAAATCCCCTCTGTGTACAACCACTGTTCACCTTCTGAGGACTTGTCAGTTTAAGTCCTGGAATAAATGAGGTGCTTAGTGAAAGGATGCCAAGTCTAGTGAGTACTCCACCCAACCTGATGAAGATAATTCATCCTGCAAATCACCCAACTAGCTGCATGACTCTAGTGCAGAGGTCCCAGAAATTCAGTACTGTTCCGAGTGATGTAAAAACATCTTTGAGCTAGCTTGCTTTTTACCCATAAAATGAAGCAAACTTAAGATGATAGTGAAACTGAAGGCTTCTCAGCAAGTAGATCAGAGCTAGAAATGGATCTCATGAATCCTGAATGCTGAAGTGTAGACGTCTAGCAGCTAGGTGATCCTGCCTTCAGCTAGGGCTGTGGAAGAGGGGCAGTCTGAGATTTGGAAATAGAAATTAAAAGTTCTTTGGGTTTGATCCCAAGTGTCCTTCTTCTACCCCTTACATTAAGGAACTGTCACTAAGATGTGACACCCACTCCCAGTTTTCCTGCAGGTTTAATTTATTCTGGAAAAGGTTCTGCAGTGCTGCTCTCTGAGGAGCCTGTGACCATACTTGAGAAACTTTTTCTCTGCTGACACAGCAGTACTGGCTGTGCCTGCAGTGGGGTTTCTGCTGGCTGGGGTAGGTGGGAGGGGCGTGCTGTAAAGCAAGGAACAGCTTCCCTTTTTAGTTCATGGTGAACAGTCACAGCAGTCGTTACGGTAACAGTAAGCTGGAGGAGAGTTCCATCTCACAGTTTGTGTGGGTCTGCTTTGGCTTGTGGCAACGGAAATTGAATTTCTTACTTCTTTGCAAATAGAAACAAGAAAGAATCAAGCCCTCCTCTTTCACCCCCCTTTCTCTGCATAGGATAAAGATGACCTTACGCCTTCTGTATAGAAAGGCATGTTGAATAGAATCTTTCTTATTCTCTATTATATGTAGGCCCATGAATGAAGCCATGTCTGATAGTAGGTGAAGATGTCTGTGTGGGGCGTAGGTTCCTGAGCTGTTGAAGATGATAGAAAGAAGACTGTCAGAAGGTGTCTGAGAGAGAGAATCAGATAAATGCCTGGAGCTGAGATTCTTGTAGCTGCATCTCTCCAGCTTCAGCTTGACAGAGCAATGTGGGCTGAGGCCTCTTGGTTTTGCTGCCTTATGGCTTGATCTGGGAGCCTGTAAGGGCAGCTAGAAGTGGCTGACCTCTGCCCAGCCCTGGAAGTGAGCAGCATTTCCTGCTGCTGGAGGCTGTGGCACAGTACTTACTCTTCCCTCCAGGCAGCCACTGGAGAGCTCCCTCTGGATTTCAGAAATGCTTACCATGGCCTATAGAGTGGCTTGGTTGTGTTTGAGAGTAACATCAAGACATGAAAATATGCAGGGGATCTTTAACCTTTTGAGGGCTAGTTGACTTTGGAGGGGTGGAAAGATCTCCTTCCTGCTGCCCAGGTCTGTGCTCTTAAGAGGAAACTCCCTTTTATCTCTCTAATTCTTTTTGTGTGTGTACGTGCCAGCATGCTAAAAGCTTCAGTGAGTGTTTTCAGAATATATGATCACATTGTTTAATCAGAGATAGTTATTTTACAGGGTGAAATCTGATTGTGAATGAAACTCACAGAGTCACCCTGGCAGGCAGGGTCACCTAGAGTCACCTCTGGGACTTTGCAGAGCACAAATACATGGATATAACCGTGTTCTCCTTGCAAAGCTTGTAGGTTTTACTAATGACTTCCAGTGGCAGAAGAGTAGTTATATTTGCAGAGAGTGCTTTTGAAGACTTTGTCTCCCTTTCTTCCCTTACTAGGTATTCCAAATAATTATTTTCTCTTTTTCTGCTGCCCATTTACACATCTGTGGTAGGAGGATTCAGTTTTGCTTCTCATTCACGCTATTCGCAAAAATGTCAAACAGTGGCGTGGAATTGTTTCAGGAATTCCACTTAGAGGGGTCCTTTAGAGGGCACCTTTTGAAATGAAAGAAACTTGTTAATTAAAAAGCTGTGTTTACTGTCGCATCAGCTGATCTTGTGGATGTAATGCAGGGACAGGGTAGCAGCTGGCAAAGTGATTCTTGTGCCTGTCTGCTACAGGGATCAAAAATTACTGGGGCAGCGTGTGCCATCAAGAGAGTATGGGTCAATAGAAGTTTGTTTTCTGGAAGTGCCCTTTCCTTGGATTTCACATTCTGGTGATAAAATTAATATGTAAGATTACTCAGTTAATTCTAAATAAAAGGGTGTCCCTTTTGACTAAAACCTAATAGTCTGTGACTGTTTCCAGCTCCCTGATTCTGAGCTAGAGTGATATGTAGGGTGTGCTACTCCTGTGAGCTCCCCCAAGAGCCATGTCCCACATTGTCACAATATTTATGGTTTAATTCCTTCTTTGATTCATGGTGGTTAGCAAGCTGGTTGAGGAGTCCTGGCTTTAATATTAAAGTTAATATTGAAGTAGTTGTTTTTCCTCACTGTTTTTTTCCTCATCCCTCCCCTAAAACAATCTATAGTTTGTGTCTGTGCAATCATTTGGCAGGGCTGTAGAAGAGAAGACACTGTCCCAGTGTTCTCTCACCATGACCATAGTTAATGAAGCTTCTGTATGACCTATCCTAATTTTTACTTGCAGTGTTACACACTTGGAATCCCCAGAGTTTCTGACAGTGCCTTCGGGGAAGCAACTTGGTGGTCTTAGTTGTGAAATATTGAGCCCACTGTTCTGCAAAATCAGTCTGAGTTTGCATTAATTTCCTGAGCATCATCAGGTGTTAACGTACATTATATTTCTAATGTGAAATTATTATTTTGTACTGCAGTAGTTTTAGGAGACAAATTTACACTCTGTAATTACATCTAAATTTCCACATCTTCAGTCTTTTAATTTTACTTGCTTTAATTTTCTTCAGGTTTGACATGATGTCCTAGCTCTCCATGGTGGTTCTTGTCTATGTGTGTTTTATCTGAATGTGTGTGTGTATGCTGGGGTAAAAAAGACAGACTCAGGTACGTAAGCTTTTTTGGGATTTGGGCTGAATTAGGGAAGTGTGAAATAACTAGTGGGTATGAACTAGCCATCTGTAAAATTTTAAAAACATGCTTGAGTCTGAGATGTGTAACTTGTTTTCTGATCTAGAGATTTGTTCCTGTCACAGTTTGACTCAGGTCCGACAACAATGCTCTCGATCCCCTCCCCCTCCCACCCAGGTAGGGAAGGAGAGAGAGAAAAAGAGAGAGACTTGGCCGGATTGAAAACTAAACTACACAGCTTTAATTAAAACACTAATGAATGATACAAGAAAATATATACAATTATATACAGATATATTCAGATACGGGCAAAAGCCTCTCACCTCCCCCCACCCCAGCAACTCCCACAGCACTTCCCTGAACTGGGAAGAGTCCCGAGGAATCCCGGAGCTGCTGCTGGAGAAAGCAGAGAGTTATGGGGGTCA